AATTTGACCCAACTCCGGGAGGCAGTGGAAGATAGGAGGGCCTGGCATGCTCTGGTCCATGGGGTCACGAAAAGTCGGACACGACTAAATGAACGAACGAACATCCTATTCATACAATTACGAGTTATCAAATCAGATGGAGCTGAGGGGGAGTTACTCTTTTTTTAACTGCAACTACCTACAATATCCATGTCTAGTATGCTGTAGTAGTGGATAGAGTAAGGGACTACCACTCTGGAGTTTGTTCGTTCGTTTAGTGGTTTAGTCGTGTCCAGCTCTTCGTGACCCCATGGACCAGAGCACGCCAGGCCCTCCTATCTTTCACTGCCTAGCATGAATCATCCCTCCAAGGAGCTCCTACAGCCTTCCAGGGAAAACAGGATAAATTGTCAAAGGGAGAATAAAGTAAAAAGTGTACAAGTTAATTGCCTTTGTGTAATTATTTTTAAAAGTTATTTTCCCATAATTAAATACAAGTTTCTAGACTTTTTAAAAGCATTTTTCCTATGTGCTGTCCTATTCATACAATTACGGGTTATCAAATCAGGTGGAGCTGGGGGGGAGTTACTCTTTTTTAAACTGCAACTACCTACAGTGTCTAGTATGCTGTTGTAGTGGATAGAGTAAGGGACTACCACTCTGGAGAGCAAGGTTCAAATCCCAACTTGGCCACTGAAAATTTGCTGGGGGAGTGGAACTGATAAAAAATACTTCTTAAATATCTCATTTATCTTCCTATACCACTGACATCACAGAACACACACACACCTGCATTATCCAGCTGGTTTGGGGTTTCATGAGCTGCTAAGGATTTCATGAGAGAAGGTGGGATCTGGAAACCTTGTTTTTTGGGTGATTAAATTGCTTTATGGGACCAGCTGGCACGCTGGAAGGAGACTGTGGAAATTTCAGTCTAAAAATGTTGTTTGACCAGAGAAATGCGGCAGCGGCAGGGTGGGTGGGTGAAGGAGAAGGTTCCTCCTCTTTTACTACTTGGTAGCAAAGGTACAGAAACCCTCTTTTCTTCCCCCCAAACAAATGAGAAGCAGGTCTTTTGTACAGTTAATGATTCTTCATTGCCCATTTAAGATCTGTTGCTGTTTAGTCGTTAAGTTGTGTCCAACTCTTTGTGACCCCCGTGGACCAGTAGGACACCAGTTCCTCCTGTCTACCACTGCCTCCCGGAGTTGGGTCAAATTTGTGTTGGTAGCTTCAATGACACTGTCCAGCCATCTCGTCCTCTGTCGTCCCCTTCTCCTCTTGCCTTCACACTTTCCCAACATCAGGGTCTTTTCCAGGGAGTCTTCTCATGAGATGGCCAAAGTATTGGAGCCTCAGCTTCAGGATCTGTCCTTCCAGTGAGCACTCAGGATTGATTTCCTTCAGAATGAATAGGTTTGTTCTCCTTGCAAACCAGGGGAAAATAAATAAATGTAGGTTTGTTCTCCTTGCAATCCAGGGGAAAATAAATAAATACAGTATACTGGCCATTAAACTGCTAGAATTCCTTTTGGTTTTATTTTTCCGGCCAGTGCTGAAACAGGTGAACAAGGTTTCCTTTTGTAAAACAAGTACAGTACCATGTAGTCGAAAAGGTCACTTTTCTAGGCTTTAAAAGATGCACAGGTGCTATGAAATCTAAAAGGTGCTATAAAATTCTGGGGCAGCTAGATCTTTGTTATGATGTTTTAGACCAGAGATACCCCCAAGACCTTGAAATTAATGCTTGAAACCCGAGGGATTATGCCACAAAGCCTAAAGGTTATAGCAGGAAAGGTAAATTGGGATCTTAGATTTGTTTCACTCTTGCGTCTCCCACTACCAGCATTTTTCTTCCTAACGTTTCGCCAATCTCTGTGGCCGGCATCTTCAGAGGACAGGAGTTAGAACACAGGAGTTAGTCTACAGAACACAGATAGAGTTCTAACTCCTGTCCTCTGAAGATGCCGGCCACAGAGACTGGTGAAATATTAGGAAGGAAAACTTCCAGAACATGGCCAAACAGCCCGAAAAACCTACAACAAACATCAGATCCGGGCAGTGAAAGCCTTCAAGAATATGTCTACATAATTGTGATATTTGCATGTATAAATGTTAATTGCAAGAGACAAATGTAATGCAAAAATGTCTTCCCTTTTTTGTGAGGAATTTGTGTGTTTTGTGAGGAACACCCTTTTTTGGTGTTCCTTTGCCCTCCCTTGAACTCTTAATTTTTTTTTGGGGGGGGAACAAAGCAGTAGCAGGGGCCACCTTATCCCAATCCTCCAGAACCCAATCCATGTGTAAATGTTTAGTTGGGCAATTAAGGCCATAATCTAGAAATCCTAACCCATACTTTCTAATGCCTGTATGTATGAGCTATTAACTAGTTTTAATTGTTATAATAATTTTCTCTGTAATTTCTGACTTTTGTCATTATATTTTTTTTATAAATCTTGTGCTTCTGAAATTGAATTTTAGTCTAATTTTTAATTTTTTTAAAAAAAATATTTTATCACATTCGTTCTAATTGCTCTTATTTTTAATAAGCGCTAGAGGAGCCTGAGGCGAGATGCATTTCTTACGCTCGGCTGGGGAGGGGGAGGGGCAAGAGCTTTGCTCCTTGATTAGGGGGCGTTCCAAGAGCGGCTGATTGGTTGTGGTGTCTCTCTAGCTCCTCCCACCCCCAAGCAATCACAACTTGATCCCTGGAGCCCACGTGGAGATGAAGGGCGGGGTTTTAGCAGCCTTGTTTTTTCCTGCCCTGGAGTGAATTTCGCTTCTTTCGCGCGCGACCTGCTGGTGGTGCAGGAATCGATGGCAAGTTTGTGTGTTTTGTTTTTAAGCTCGTATTTGTTCCGTTCGGTCGGATCCGGTTGCTCTCTTTATTGCTAGTGGACATTGTTGCTCATTTACCCTAATATGCTGAAGTCGACTTCTGTGCGCATTTATTCTAGTCCTGCCCTGGAGTGAATTTCGCTTCTTTCGCGCGCGACCTGCTGGTGGTGCAGGAATCGATGGCAAGTTTGTGTGTTTTGTTTTTAAGCTCGTATTTGTTCCGTTCGGTCGGATCCGGTTGCTCTCTTTATTGCTAGTGGACATTGTTGCTCATTTACCCTAATATGCTGAAGTCGACTTCTGTGCGCATTTATTCTAGTGTAAGATGATGGATTCATACGTGCCATGAAATATAGCGCAGTTTACTCGCCGGTGAAATTTATTGAGAATTGAAGGGCATGTTTGATGGGTGTGTGGGTGGAATTTATGGCTCCGATGCTTCTGCAGTTCGGCTGTTACTATCCAGGAGCCTTCCAGAGATACAGGACTAAAATTCCCATTATCCTCGGGCGGAGCTTGTACAGTTTTTTTTCCGGAATGTATATCTCCACGCCGTGTTGGCTAAAGATTTCGGGTAGTTTTCGCCCAGAAACTACCCCTTAATTTCAGTTCTTTTTGTTTTATTAATTTTTATTCCCATATAAAACTTATTGGTCCTGCGCCCTGGGTTTTCTTGCCATTTTTATATACGCTCTACCCACAGATAGTCTTGTTTCTTCGGGATTATAGGATAGGTTTGGGGGGAGACCTCAGTAGAAACAGATTTTTAATCAAAGTACTGAAAGCATTAGCCCTGTATGATTGTTTTGCCTGTTGAGCTTGGAGCGAGGGTAATTACTCCACACCGTCTAGTGTACTTGGCTTTTGTAACGTCTGAACGCTGCTGGGATGCGTGTTTAGAGCTCTCCTTGTGATCAAGAATCACTGGACTCTTTAGGTGTTCGGGGAGGTTTTTTGGCATGCTTCTTAAAGTTTCCTCGGTGTTAGAAACAGAGCCTTCCCCTATCTGGGATGCTACAAATCCCATTATCCCCAGCATTCAAAGCATTCCGAGGCCGCCAGCTTAGGCAAAAAAGCCTATTTTATATATTTGCTACAGAGGGTTTTGGGGGTTGCAGTACCTCAGAATCCCTCCCTAGCAGGACCTGTGGAGGTTGAAGCTGAAAGAAATAACTCTTAACTTTCCCAAATTCTGCTTTTGGAACCCCCTCCTTTCTCGTGGTTCTGCAAGTCCCCTTAGGTGTGTTAATTGTTTGATCTTTTTTAGTGATGTGGAAAAGGTAGAAAGAAACATCTACTTCCAACCACTAGGTAATATTGTTAAATTGGCTCTGCCTCGTAGTTTAGACTAAATTTGAATCACAGTTCCCTGATGGAGCTTCACTGGGTTTATGGGTTGCCCTGATCCTCAGCCAAATAGGATCTCTAATATTTCAAAAGAAGGCAATGTGTAGGGAGATGGGGGTGAGTGGGTGGCGCAAATGCAAACTACCTGAGATTCTTTGTGTGAGGAGCTCCCTGGGGTATAGTTTGAAAACCACACCTCTTAAGAATCAGACCGGGCACAGGCATCTGTGAATTTTTGGGACATCCATAAGTTTTCTGCTCTGTCCACAACATGTTAGTTGCATGGCTTGAAGAAGTGAACCTGATCCATGAAAGCTTGCTGATGGATTGAAGATTTTTAGTGATCTAATTAAGGTATAATGTAATCCTGGATTTGCTGACTCTTTTGTCTGGGTGTGTGTGCATCCTAGCCATGTACGACTATGTTGGGGATTAGAAAAGTTACTTGTTTGGGCTATAAGAATCCTCCAACCAGCATGGCTGGAAAAAAAAGAAAATTTCAGTATTCTGGTAGGTTTTGGATTAAATACTGTGAACAGTAAATTTTGTTTGCTTGTGTGTGTGTGTGTGCCTCTGCGCATGCTTTATTGCTTATGCTCAGCCTGATAGATGGGCTAGTGTATTGGTGGAGTTCCCAGGTATCAAAAACAGTGTTTCTTTGAATGATTTTGCGTGTGAGTGAGTGAGTGAATTGTATATATTGTTCATAAACTCAGCACATGTGAAGAGCTCAATAGTTGTCTCTTAACTAAACCTATGATCCTTTGATTTTGAATAATGTTAACAGCAGCCAGTTTGAAAATGTTTTGTGAAATGCTAATGAGAATTTTTTCAGTTTGGATAAAGAAATAAATGAATGTTAGGTCTGAGCCCGAGAATGTATATATGAAGAAGAACATTGGGAGTTGATTCATGCCCATACTCTGGGGCTATCTAACTTTGACTGACAACAGCTTTATAAGACTTTTTCAGGACTCTTTTCCCACCCTAGCTGGACCTATGTAATATTCCCTTCTAGCAGTTTTGAAAGAAGTAGTGATGTTGGTCTTTTTCTGCACATGTTAAAGAAAAAAGAAAGCTAGTGACACTTCAAAGATTAGCCGTTTTTTTGTTTTTTATGCTCCACTTGCCCAGACACAGGAAGCTCATACGGAAATAAATCAATGAGTCTTCAAAGGCATCACAATTATTTTGTTTTAATTTTTGCTACATATGCTGGTACACTCTGTTGGTCTCATATTCCAGCACAAACCAAAACTTGCTTAGCTTCCAAAATTAGACAAGGTTACATTTGAGGCTAAACTCTAGGACGCTGGTTCTCAACCTTGGGTAACCCAGGTGTTCTTGGACTACAACTCCCAGATGTCCAGCACGTGGTAAAGGCTTCTGGGAGTTTTAGTCCAAGAGCATCTGGAGACTAAAGGTTGGGAACCAATGTCCCATGGCCATGATCGGAAGGAGGGGCAAACTCTCCATATTGTCCTGGATGTGGCAATATGGAGAGTCCCCTTTATTGATGGTCATTTCTAGATGTTGAAGGTGAGTTACAAAATAATCCTGCCTCTTACATATGGTAAACTTCCTTTCATTCCAGTTCAATGAATCACCCTGACTCTTGGCATTATGAGTGAATAATTATGTATCATTTTAATTGAGTTGTTGTGGTCTGTTGTTTCTAAATGAGGTTTTAATGCTGATTTCATTGACCATTTAAAAATTTTACTTGCTTAATTCTTTTAAGAGGTTATACACACTGCTTTTAGCATTTAAATATTGCCTTTATTTGTTGTAAGCCATCCTGAATCCTTTCAAAGTGAAAGGTGGGGTAAAAAATATTTTGAATGAATGATGGATTGGGGAGAAAGCAACGAAACCTTTTACACAAAGCATATTTTTATATACTCACCAGTGACGCATGTCCCCCCCCCCAGTTCTCACCCCCTGCCCTCTCTGGAGTTGTGGGTAGACATGCAGATTCGTGTCTCCTTTAGTTCCTCCATTTTTTGTCATTCTTTCCAGGTGAAGACATGTTTTTGGACCTCCATTTGAGAGCAAGGAGAACATCCTGGTTCTTCTTGAACAGGCGGAGCGACTTCTGAAGGGTGGAGGACAAAGCCTGTGTTCCTGTTGCACAGTAGAGTCGAAGGGATGGCTTCTGAGAGCCCCAGCAAGAGGCTGCAGTTGGAGGTGACGTGTCCCATCTGTCTGGACTATTTTACCGACCCTGTGGTTCTAGATTGTGGGCACAGCTTCTGCCAAGCATGTGTGGCGAGATGCTGGAAGGATCCTGGTGCAGGCACGACATGCCCTCAATGCCGCATGGCCGTCGGACAGAACTTCAGACCGAACAGGCTGCTTGCCAATATGGGGGAAATCTATCGGCAGATGAGTTGGTCAACCCTGCAGGAAGTGCAAGGACGGAGGGTGGATTGCGAGCGGCACCAGTTCCCCCTCGAGTTCTTCTGCCAGGACGACAACACCCCGGTCTGTCTGCTGTGTCATAGATCCAAGGAGCACGTAGGACACCAGGTGGTTCCTCTGAGGCAGCTTGCCCAAGAGTACGAGGTCAGTAGCTGTTGTTACTAGCATGGGAAGGGTTCACCTTTGGGGGGGAAAACAGTGTTGTGGGGACTGGAATGTGGGCCTGGGATTTGGGAGATGAAGATGCAAGATGCACAGAGTCAAGAGTTTGGTAGGTCTCAGGAAGCCGAGAGTAGAGTGCAGTCTGGCAGTACACAGATTAGAGGTGTGTCGATGTGTGTGTTTTGGACTGTACTGAAGGAACACCCTCTCTTTAGGATACATAGCAAAAAAACAACCCAGCTATTCTTGATACAGTAGTGGTTTAACTTTCTTTTTCTTAGGTCAAGTGGTAGCACTTTCAGCTTCACTCACGCTTTCCACTATTAATTGTTTCCATTTCAGTCTGAGTCACAACCAGAGATATGGGACAGAAAAGTTTTCACCAAAAAATAAAACATTGAAAAAATTTCTGCCCCACATCTGTGAGCTACACCTACCTCCTTTACACACACACACACACACACAAAACCTACATACACACACACAGTATCTGTCTTAAAAATTAGCAAGTTTCATTCAAGATGACCCCATTTTTTCTCCCTTTCTGAACCAGCAGGAAAAGGTGATTTTAAAAACACCTGTCCCCCACTCTTGTGGGGGTGGATCCTAAATAACCAACTATGCAACTCTGCTCCTAAGTAGTCCCATTTCCTTAAGAGACTCTCATCTCTTGCATCTGGGTAACAAGGGGGAGTATCTCCTCATTAGACTGGAGTGGCTTGGCTTGGAAGATAGACTCTTTCTCCCTGGTTTTAGCCACACACACAAAAAAACAGGGCTCTATGTAGATTGCTCATAGAAATACTTGCACAGTCTTAGTAATCCAATCACTCCACTGCCTCAGTGGTGTCACGGAGCCACAGTTTGTAAGATTGAAGTTCTGGGACATTGTGATGAGCTGGGGTCATGACATCATCTGCCACCCCCCTCAGTCTTCCATGGTCTCTATAAGCTTAACTACAATCCTTACAGCAGTTGGAAAAGAAATGAATTTCTTCAGGAACAGTGTTTTTGTTAAAAGTTATTCCTGTTGCAATGCAAAATAATTGAAGGTGGTTTAGTTTTTATCTGAAGCTCAACATCAAAAAAAACACCTGAAGATCATGGCCACTGGTCCCATCACTTCCTGGCATATAGAAGGGGAAAATATGGAGGTAGTGACAGATTTTACTTTCTTGGGCTCCATGATCACTTCAGATGGAGACAGCAGCCAGAAAATTAAAAGACAGCAGCTTCTTGGGAGGAAGGCGATGACAAACCTAGACAGCATCTTAAAAAGCAGAGACATCACCTTGGCGACAAAGGTCTACACAGTCAAATCTATGGTTAGTCCAATAGCGATGTATGGAAGTGAGAGCTGGAGCAGAAAGAAGGCTGACCACTGAAGAATTGATGCTTTTGAATTGTGGTGCTGGAGGAGACTCTTGAGAGTCCCCTGGACTGCAGAGAGAGAAAACCTATCAATTCTGAAGGAAATCAACCCTGAGTGCTCACTGGAAGGACAGATCCTGACGCTGAGGCTCCAGACTTTGGCCATCTCATGACAAGAGAAGACTCCCTGGAAACGACGCTGATGTTGGGAAAGAGTGAGGGCAAGAGGAGAAGGGGACGACAGAGGACGAGATGGTTGGACAGTGTCATCAAAGCTACCAACATGAATTTTACCCAACTCTAGGAGGCAGTGGAAGACAGGAGGGCCTGGTGTGTTCTGGTCCATTGGGCCACGAAGAGTCGGACACGACTTAACGACCAAACAGCAACAAATCTTAATGGCAATGAAGAATCATTAATTGTACAACAGACCTGCTTCTCATTTGTTGGTATCTACCAATGTTTCCTTCTCCCTTGTGGGGAATGGGTTGGCTACTATGGAATGAGGATTATTATGATGAAGACTTGTACTTGCAAAGATACTATTAGGCCGCTTCTCCACCCAGAAACTTACTTTGTTACATCTTTTCAATAATAAGTTTTAGAGAAATTATATCGCAGGAAAAATAAATAAAAGATACAACATGCAAAATGCAGGAAGTTGGCATTCAAAACATATTATACTGCCCAAATGTAGTATTAAGGATGTTACTCCAAGGGAGAGAGCCATGGGAAAGCCAAAGTTCTGTGTCAGTGCTTTGTCAAATTTAAAAAACACAAAGTATATAAAAACAAGACTTCCACCATGTTTACAAGGTCATCTCCAAAACACATAGCTACCTGGTTTTTACAAACAGGGGAAATATCTCTGCTGAGAAGATACTTGGATGAGAAATACCTAATGCGGTGTGACTCATTAGCAAATTTATTTTATTTATTTATTTTATTTATACCACGCCTATCTGGTCGGTGAGGACCACTCTAGGCGGCTGTTTTTGCCTGTGCTTTGATAGAATTGTTTTAATTACAATTTGTATTACAATAGAGTTTGTTTTTAAATGAATGAGAATTGTACCTAAGAAAATAACCTTTTACTATGGAAAACTTGTTTGCTTTGTATTTTTGAATTACTGAGCTTCACTTCAATGTTGTTTAAACAAAACTTTTTCTTTTATTACACTGTTTATTTTTAATCCTACATATAGGAACTAGAGAAATATGTAATAGATAGCTGTGATTTTTAAAATATACTCACGTAAATTTATATATATACTACCGAGTAAATTTTATATTTTGGCTTTTTAGTTACTCATTTGCCTGCTTGCTAAATAAACCTTTTAAAGAAGAAAAGGATTCATTTTTGAACTTTTAAGGCAAAATATTACAAGGTATCTAGGAATGAAGATTTAAAATGAATATAACAAGGCACAATATCTTCTGAGACTGTAAATCTATTCCTGGTGAGATCTGTAAAGGACACAAATCTATAAGTCTTCCATAAAGAGCCTTTTGATCGGGAGCTTTATAGGACATGCTCTGATTTTCCCCCGTGGAGACCGATTGTTCTGTCAGTTTGCTCCCTACTCCTCTCCTTGTCATAAAGAGCCTTTTGATCGGGAGCTTTATAGGAAACATTCTGATTTTCCCCCGTGGAGACCGATTGTCTGTTCTGTCAATTCGCTCCCTACTCCTCTCCTTGCTCATAAGCTTGTTTTGTCACTTTGGTTTGATTTCTCACTTGAAGAGTAATAGCGGACGGCATGATACACTTTAAAATCTTACTTCTGTTTCTGCAGGCCAAAGGCATGAAAACTAAAAAGAGGAAAAGCGGTAACCGTAGGAAGAAGGCCTGTCCCGTTGAAGCTCCATGGTGGAGTGTTGAAGGAAACAGAAGTAATGTGTCTCCACTTCTGGAGCAGGTGATGGAAGAGAAGCAGGAGGAGAAGCAGGATCAACACTTCCAAGTGGATCAGCCGAGCGAAGAAGGTCATGATGGGTTTGCTATCCATAAAAAGAAGAAGCAGCGAAAACGATATCGCCACCATACAAGAGATAAGGAGCTTGAGGGGGAAGGCCCTAGTACATTATGTAATACGAATTCTGATTATGGTGTTTGCAAGGTGGAGGAGGATCTTAATGATGAAGACAAGGATATTATTCTCCCTCCTGTGGGATCCACCAGCATCCAGAACCGTCTTGTGGATCTGGCTGGAGGATCAGAAGACGCTGTCTCAGTGACCACTCATCACCCTGCTTCCTCGTTAGGCAGGATTCTAAAAGAACCAGCTGGACAGCCTGTTCAAAGTTGTTCAAAACAAGGGCAGCTGGAGACTCAGTGTTTCCTTCCAGATCTTCCTCTGCTCCCATTTAAGTGCAGTCCTCCAAAAATGAAGTCAACTTCAAAGTCAAATCTGCGGGGCTCAGAGAAAGATCGGCGCAGACGGCGCACGTCTTACGTCTGGAAATATTTTACCCACCTAAATAACAACAGGCTTCTCGCCGTTTGCAGCGTATGCCGATCCAGAGTGCGGTTAGGAAGGGAAGGCGGGTGCCAAAGGGTGGGGACGTCTTCCATGCGAAGGCACATTGAATGTCGCCATCCCCAGCTGGTCCCAAAAGGGGACTCCAGAGCCACTCCCACCTTGAAAAAGTTAAGACCAGAAAGGAGTGCCGTGAAGCCTGCAGAACAATTTGAGGGGCAAGGAAGTCTTCAGAACGGGGTTGTCTCCGGGAAACAGATGACCATACCTGAAACATGGACATTCAAAGAGAAGCATGCAAGAGACAGTGTTAAATCCACAAAGCTGAATCGTGCCCTGGCCATGTTCGTGGCTTGTTCTATGCTTCCACTTTCTGTAGTAGAAGATGAGGCTTTCCTTGAGTTCATGGAGGAACTTGACTCTCGCTGGGACGTTCCTAGCCGTCTCCACCTTTGTAACGACCTTTTCCCTGCTCTTGAGAAGGACATTAAGGGAGAGCTGTTGAAGGATCTGAGGAATGCAGGGGCTGGCGCAGTGCATTTAGCTGGGGCCATTTGGACGAGCAAGCAGACCAAAGCGTACCTATGCGTTGCAGCCCACTGGATATCTATGGAAGAAGGAACGTTGGAAAGAAAGAGCGCAACGCTTGCCGTGAGGCTTCTCTCCGATTTGTGCCATGCACCGAACATTGCTTGTACGCTGAAAAGTGTTGTTTCTGAGTGGCTGACACCGTTGTCACTGGAGGTGGGCTGTGTATCCACCAATAACAGCTTGGATCTCTTGAAAGCTGTACAGCAGAGTGGAATGGACCCCGTGCTGTGCATCACTCATTGCCTCAACCTGGTTCTTCTGAAGGCCCTCAGGACCGCTCCCCCTGGAGTCAAGCATATCCTAAACCTCGCTCGTACTCTGTCAGTACATTTCCGGCAATCATGGGCTGCAACGGAGGCGATCCGTGTAATACAGTGTCAACA